ATACTGCGCAACGGATGGGTTAACTGGGATTGGCATGGTCCAGGATCGCTCTCCAGCGTGCAAGTACCTTGAGAAAACCCATTGAAATAAAAGGGGAGATGCACTGCCAAAACAACTGCTTTGTCTATGAAGTGAGAAAGATTATCTGGCTAAAGAACTGTTGGATCACTAAAGACAACCATAGGATTACACACGGGACTGGGAAGGGCCACCAGGGCCACCAAGCCCAGTCCCCTGAAGATTGGAGTCTTCATCACCACGTCACCTCCAAGCCAACCTTCAAAAAGCTCATGCATCAAAGAAAAGAAAAAGCGTCCCTCCTCCCAAGCAGAGGTTCAATTTGCAATCTCTCCAAAAGGACTTGTTGCCAACACACCAAATATTTACACTTACACCAGCATGAATTGCAACATATGCATAACAAGGAATGTTAGATTTCCTAAATTCATTAATTTATAAAAACCTCCACTTCCCCCTCCTCAGCATGTACAGGTCTATGCCCTTGGGATTGCGGTTCACTTCTCTCCCAGCCGTACTGGCTGGGGAGACTACACGAAATCCTGATTTACAGCAGCAACTGGAGTTAAACAGAAATTATTTGGGCATATCATTGTAGTAAAGCAGCAGGGTACCACAGCCCCGACCATCACAGCGCCTGTCGAGATCAGAACAAACGTGCTGCGCTACATTTTTGCGTCTGAAGAATTCAAATCACGACCGTTGTCACATCTCTCCCTGGAGGGGAACAGTATTGTGAAAACACATCAGTCACTGCCAAAACTCCTGTGAATACTCTGGTAATTCAAAAGAAAACACAGCACCTTCGAGATGGTGGTATTTGGGGATACCGGACTTAGACGGGGCCAAGCCATCCTCGGGTTGATAGGATTTATCCTTGGGTAGGGACCGTTTCAGTGTAATGCCCCAAATTTAACTCCTTATTTGTTCATCTTCTGAAATTGTTGCACTAATTAAATAATGAGCTAGTATCAAAAAAGTGCTAAATCACAACTGAATATACTTAAAAAACCAAACAAACCCAACCCTTCAGGGCATAACTGCATTTAAAACCCAGACAGGCGCACAAGAGGCTGGAGGAGGCAGTCGGCTCCAGGCGTTCAGTGCGTCAGTGGGGAGAAATTGTGTCCTTGCCATAGAAACGTCAAGTATTGCAATGCGACAGTCCTCGTGGGGGAAGCGAGCTTTGTACCATCGGCTGTACTTGGCCACAACCACTCTGGGGTGAAAGATCCTTTGTGCACTCTTTTCCTTACATTATTCCCATTTGCTCTGAAAGCGTGGAGTAGCTTTGGGAACAAAGGATGCGGACTTACCCTGCGAGGCTGCTCACACGGGAGGAAGTTATTTCCAAGAATTTGGCGTTCTCTGCTGTTCACCCAGAATCGAAGCAAATTTAAGTACCGTCAGAGATGCGCACACCACTCCCACTGCTAAGACCTTCGATTGTACTCCTTCCGGACTGCGTGGATTCTCAGTAAATAAGGATATATATATTTTTTTTTTTTTCTTTTTCCCCTCACCAAAAAACTGCAGTGCTACATTTAAACCGGGAACTGGATTTGCTCTGTATCATTTCACACGGTAAAAAACAAGAAACGGGTCGAAAGACATTTGTCTCAAACTAGAAAAGGTTGACATCGCTCTCGGCCTCGGAAGTTCTCAACTTTCCTTTGCTAGAAATGGAGCGAGCTGCTTTCCTCAGCTGGTGCCTGGGATCCCTGTCCCCCCTCTGCTTTGGGAGCCCTCACCCAGCAGCCGTGCACCCACTGCGAGGCAGACACCAGTGCCAGCTGGAGATGATCTTCGTGTCAGCACGCCACTGCTTCTTAGGTCTCTGCCTCGTTACTACATTTCCGTGGTAGGGACAGCTGCCCGGAGATCAGCTTTGCAGAGGCAAACAGAAAGGAAGATAATGGAATGAATGATTTCCCAATCACACAAAAACAGGCAGTAGGAAAGACGAGGCGTACGGCCAGGAGATGAGACGCAACCGGGAGGGTTATGGACACGCAGCGGAAGCTCGGTAGCTTAGGCAGGGCTGCCGGTGATCGCAGCTGGGTTTGGACGGTCACCCTTCGAAAGGCACGTGCTCTAGTGACCCGGCCTTGGGAGGTGCTGAGGAACCTGTCCTGCCCGAAGGCGGGGGGACGCAGGAGCTCAGACTCTCCAAAATCAGGCACGCGTGTGGGCAACTGCGTGGTAAATGCTTACACGTAGAAAACGCACTACCATGGCTATCGTTAACTCGGTTTCTCTTTGAAGGACACAGAAACCCTCAGGGCACCCTCACAGCTTGGAAGGACGCTGATCAAACCCCAACCCAACCTCTCGGAGCACCTCAGACACAGACACCGCGCTCGGCTGGCAGCACCTCTGCTTCAGGGGCTTTAGCCAGGGGAGCAGCGGCTCTACAGCAAGAGGCTCCATGGCATATGAAATATAAGTACTACACTGAGCTTTCCTTTTTCTTCTTCCTCCTCCTCAGTTTCATCTCTGAGCTTTGCAATGCAAGTGAAGGAGCCAGGGGCAGGGACACGGGCAGCTCGCTGGGGCTCTCCCAGGGTCATGAACCACCATTCAGCATCCCCAGACTGCATCCCCAGACCTGTCCCAGCTCTGCGCCAAGTGCCCTGTGGTCTCGTGCAAACAATTCCCAGCCATATTCTGGAATTAAAAGCTGCTTCTGCTGAGAAACACAGCAATAGGGATGTTTTTCCAGAGGAGAAACATGCCCGCTTGGGAAGCAGCCAAAGGCAGAGGTGCCGCTGAGGCAGGGCCATCGCCAAGTGAAATCCTCTCTCAAGGCTGGAAGGTGACAGATGTTTCAAGATCCCTATAGCCCTCATCGTGCAATGAAAATAAGCTTTGGGATCGGCAGCAGAGTGATTTCAATCACATTTCTCCCTTTGGCAAAAAAAAAATAATACAATGGCAGTAACGCTGCTGAACGCAGCGGAGCTCCAGCTGCTCTATCTGACCTCTGACAGCACCCAGCCTCTCTCAAACCCCTTTCTGTCCCAACAGCCACCATGTGCCTTTAAAAGCTTCACCTCTTCACAATCCGCCAAGTGAGAACTACACCCATAGCTCACGAAAAGTTTGGTGAGTGTAAACAGAACTATGGGGGGGAAAAATAATCCTACAAGGGACCGAAACACATGCAACCAAACCCGCTCCTTGTCTCCGCGGGGGGACAGAGCTCACAGTGGGAACGATCACACCCGGCCCAAACCAGCGCTCCCGTCGGGGCGGGATTGCTGCTCCGGGCTTCAAGGGGAGAGACTGTGGGCAGGGTTCCCGCAAGGAAATCTAGTGAAGGTGTGTTATTTGCAGACAGCGTCACAGTGGTTAGTGTCGATTCGAATGGCAGGGAGGAGGAGGGGTGAGTTCGCTGGAACAGTACACAGCCGTGGCTCAGTCGGGGAGAAGAGGATCTAGGAGGAGGGAGTGCGTGCACCGCAGAGACAAGAGGTCTCCATCAGTCCAAGGATAAGAAGGTGAAATAGAAAAAAAAAAAAAAAGCCTGGGGAGCGTCACGTTGCCCCAGGGATTCACAGTGCCAGAGCGAGGGGAAAGACGTGAAAACAGCAGGCGGCTTCCTGGGATCCACGTCTCCGATTCCCCCAGCCTGCATCCCTCTGCACCTCCCACCTCACCGAGATCTAACAGCGTGTTACCCTTGTTTCCGAGTAAGGAGAATTCACAGTGTTCAGTAGTGATCAGGTACAAAAGCCGGTTTTAAGTCTAGAGTCTCCTAAGTGCTGCTGCCTTTGACGGAGTGCCTAGGTGGGGCTCAGTGCGAGCAGCCGGAGGAAGAGGGGGTTTAGGACAGCAGACAGATCAGATCGCAAAGGCACGGTTAGACTGGGTGGACGCGGGGTGTGTTTGCTTTAGAAGATAGTGGTCTCATACTTAGTGCTGAGGGTCCGCTTGGAGTCCTGTTTGGGGTCCACGACCCAGGAGACGCTGGCATGAGACTGGGAGTCTTGGTCCACTTCAGGGGGCTCCAGCTGGAAAATAAGGAGAGAAAAGGCGTGTTAGGGCACTCGTGCTCCTGGGACAGAACGAGCGGGGATTCAAAGCACGGAGAGGCTGCTGCTCTGCCTAATGCCCATCCCAAAAATGTGCACGTGCACGGGGAAGCAGCAGCTCCCACTGGGGAGGCATTTGAGTCCTTCACAGCTCAAACACGTCTGGCCACGTCAGTCTCAACCCAGCACCCCGAGATGACTCCCTGCATTAGGGCTGCAAGCCCCGATTCCCATTAGCGACAGCTTCGCTTCATCTCCCAAACAAGCATGAAAAATTCAGCGCTATAAAGATGGCACTATAAAAAAACAACAACAACAAAAAAAAGAGGCAGAGGGAGAGAGAGGGAGACAGCTCCTGGCAGGTTTGCTCCCACGTGATTTATTCTCCTGCCCAAGCAAGGCTCTTTCCTCTTGTCCTCCTAAATCAGGATCCTACAGGAAGGTTAATAACGGCAGAAAGAGCAACGCAGTTAGTTGAGAGCTGCCACTCTCCATCAGCGGGGACGGACAGGAGCAGTTGGTCCCTGGGGTTCATCCGAGCCCACGGCACGGCCCTGGAACGAGCAGGGAGGGAAGACAGCAGCGAGGCGGGACACGGGAGCACAGCAGGAGACACGGGAAGCAGGGAGGCAGGCGGGCCGGTGGCGGCTGGGACAGTCGGGGTCGGTTCGGGATGGAAGATGGCAGGAAGGAGGGTAAAGACCTTCGCTCCGGGACTAACAGACTGCAGCGGCAGGTAGGAGGGGCGGTGTGTTGTACAGGTGTGACAGGAGCAACAGCGAGGGTCAGGAGGGAGCGGCACCTGAGCGGGGGGAGCAAGCAGAACACAGACAAAAGGAGACGTTAAAGGAAGGCAATGGCCTCTGCAGCAGTCCCTGCTCCTCTGCAGCTCCAGCCTCGGCTGGTTTTGGCTATGGCAGCTCTCCCCTGCTGCAAACCGCGGGTCACCTCCTGGTCTGACAGCGGCTCCGCAGGGTTTGCACGCAGCAGCTGTGCTGGAACCAGCGGGACACTCAACCCCCATCCCACCTGAGCCGTTTCCACCTCTGCTCGCCCTCATCCTGCCAGGGGAAGCCCCAGCCCCGCAGCGGGACGGCCACAGAGCCCTGGACACGGCAGCATCAGCAGGACCTGGAGCTACGGCACCTCGCCTGCATCCGGGCTCCCCACACCACGAAGGGGGAGGTTTCAGTGTGTGGTGCCCAAGAGAAATCCCAGCTCAGGCCACGCGGATCGCACCCGGCAGCCCGCTGGTCCGCACATACGTACTGCGGATTTCCTCACGCCGGCTCGCGGTTTAGGCACCGGTTTGGAAGATTTTGTTTCGATCACTTCTCCTGCTGCAGCACCCAGAGGCTTGGCTCTCTGGGCTTGGAGGGCCAGCTGGTAGGCGACCTCGAACGCCTGCCCCAGCGTGAGGATGATCTCGTACGTCAGGTTCTTTGGAGAGACCACAGAAAACACAAAGCCGTTAGTTAGGTGCATATGAGCCACCTCGCCCTACGCAGAATCCGTGCACTCAGCAGCTTGCTCTGGAGATGCAGAACTCAGCAGAGCCCATCGCCTGGCCATTAGCAGGTCGCATCCTGCCCTATCCCTGGCAAAGCTGCTGAGCTCCTGCCCCACGGGGAGCCAGGACCGAGCTGCCTCCGTGCTCGCAGAGCCCCAGCCGGTGGGACCCCCTGCGAGCCCGCTCCAGCCCCCCAGCATCGCAGTTCAGCGGCGTTTTGCATAGTAAAGAGAAAAAGCCCAAATGTCTTGCAGAAACAATTCTGCCTAAGAATAAAAGCAAGTTCTGCTTCCACACTCTGGGTGAATTAAAAGGCCATTAAATCAGCCTATTATGCTGATTTATGCGTATTAGGGTTTTGTTCACAGTGTATTCCCCAGGAGGAAAAAAACTCCTGCCCCCCTTTATTCAGCACTGGAGGCTACAGTAATGGAGCCAGACAAATATCCTCTTTGTCGACAGAGCTCTGAAGTAAAAGTATTTTGAGATAGGACTCTGAAAGGAATATTTTAGGGTAGAAAAAGGTAAGAGAGCCCTGGAATGAACCAGATCCTGGTCTATGACTCGCCAGTAAAGCTGAACGATGGAACAAGCGGACCGCAAAGGACGGCAGCGCGCTGGGAGAGGAGGTGTGCTAACCACTCACCACATCCACGGTGCTGAAGACGTGGCAGTAGTGGTGGCTGGTCTGCAGGTCCTTGGTGATGTAGGCGAACGTGCAGAGATCCTCAGGGTCCTGAGCAGCGCAGGAGATGTTCCGGATCTCGTGCTCAGCGATGACATTCTGCCGGGATCAACCACAAGAACCCATCACCCTTCTGGGGATGGCAAATACACCCTGAAACCAGTGGTCATGGCCAGCATGTACTGGGGGCAGGGGGCAAAACAGGGGCCGGCAAGGGAAGGGGGTCTCCCAGCCAGACCAGTCCCAGCTCCCTCCTGTGGCAGGAATGATGGCAACAGGGGCCACCAGCAGCCGGTTTGCCAAG